TTAAGAGATGTCCTTATCAAGGAGGTTAGAATGGCTTCTGGCGAGGATGGTCAAAATCTATCCTTCTAAAGATGGACAAGTTCGTGTGGTAAAAATAAAAATGAAAAGCGGAGAAATTCTCCGCCCAGTGCTCAAGTTAATACCGCTTGAAGTGACCCCATCATACCTAACAGGCTTCCATTCCCAATGAACAGAAGACTGTTGAAGATCGTCTTTCAAGTACTGCTTCTAACAAGCCAGTACTGACTCAAAAGATAACTCCTTCTAAGTAAAGAACTTCTAATGACTTTTTTTCAGAGACTGTTCCTGGGAAAAGATCCAGATATGGACGATTAATTAAACCTAGAATTAGGGTTTGAGATTCCCTGGCTCGAATCTCAAAAGTGGGAGTGTGTTGCGATACGTGGTTTCCACTTGTGAATTCAGTTTTTCGCATGCACGCACGTAACGGAGTGAACTGAAAGGAAAAGATTATGTAAGTTTTCACCGCGCGGCTTGAGGAGTTATGAAGAAATCTATGTTCTTTTTGTTGGTTTATAAATGTTTAAGAAAATGGATGTCCGGTTTTGATATTTGTTATAACATTTTGTAAAACTTGTGCACAGATTAAATATAATTGAAAAAGCTGATCCTGAACTCTTGATGTTTTACGTTGTATGAACAGTTTTCTCGAACACTTTAGATAATTCGGAAATAAACATCTGATGTATCCCAATGATTCAGGTAAGCGCTGTTTTACTTACCTCCTGTTTGAATACTTTCAACACACAGAAAGTGTATTAACATTGCCTTCGGACACACACACAACAACAACAAAAAAACACCACCACAACACATTTTTTAAAACTGAAATATAGCCAACACATGAGAAATAACTCCTGGGATAAAAAATACAAATGAAAGCTAAAAAAAAATATATATATATAAATGAAGGTAAGAAAATACACATGAAGGTAAAAAAAAAAAAAAAAATATTTGACCTCCCTGTTCCCAAAAAAGTGAGTTGGGAAAAAAAAAAGAAACTACCAGTCAAAATAATACTATTTTTGTAAGAAAGTCGAAATAAAGCTCCTAGCTTACCAACTGATCTACAGAAAGAACTGAAGTGGTACTTTTCCGTTTCGCCGACGCAAATCTCGCCAAGCAGACTTTGTTGGCGACAGCATACAGTATACACATACAAAATTTTAGTTCTAAGAATTTTTTATTTAAGGCATAAAGATATTAATATGATTTAAAATTTTGTAAAAAGCCAATAAATTTGTAAAAAGACATTAATTTAAGAATTTACTATGCTTTTATGGTTCAACATCCTGGTTCACATCACGTGACCCAAAGTGATCTCATCTCATGTAAACTACGCTAAAAAAATATAATTCTCTCAGTAATTATCTACATTAATTTCAACTTAAATCTTAATTTGGTATACATGTTTAAATGCAAGAATTACTTCAATTCGTACGAATAGCTTACTTAGAAGTTATGTAAAACCGCAGTGCTTTACTTTGCTAGAGCATTCTCATTAGAATTGATGAATTTAACTCTTCATTTTGCCTTTCCTATATTTTCGCCTTTGGGTGAGCGGTGTGATTGCATTCTAATTGACAAAATTTAACTATCTTTTGTAAAAATGCTATGTAATTGTATGCCACTATTGAAAAACAAACAATCAATCTGATAAGAAATGGCTGCTACTTGTTTTAAAAATGAAGTGTAAAAGATTACCAGCTAAGATATTCCATTTGGCATCGGTTGTACCATTATTGGCGACTTTATCGTTTGTGCAGGCAAAACGGAAAAGTACCACTGAAGTTATTCTTTACGTACAAGGATGTTAGTATTTTTCAATGAAATATTTATTTGGCAAAAATTATAAAGAAGATAAGCAATAAAATACAGCAGCATTAGGTAATTTACCTGACCTTGCCTGATTTTGAAGCTGGTCATCCATAAAAAGAAATTTGAAAGCATCAGTAGAGTTCTTAATTTCAGTATCATTAAAGGTTTCATGATAATCATTTACAGATGCATGAAAAACTATTAGCCAAAACATGCATAACAAGTTATCAAAGCCAAAGGGGGATATAATTCATGTTAGGTATACAATTAAGGTCATTGAAATTACGCTTTTGATTTATTAAGATTAATTTGTATGCTAATGTAATAAAGTCATGATGTAATTTCTAATAACTTCAAACTTAAACTACATTACAAATAGAAAATACAAATGAAAGCTTTCTAATAATCTTTTTTGAAATCAGAATTATTTTATCTTAGCATATAATACTTTGTTTTACATAATAAAATATTCTACACAAGTTTTAGCATCAGCGTTGTTTATTTATTTAATAAAACATCTTACACTTCATAACAGAGATGATACAACAGAAATGGCATCACTTCATATCACAAAGATTCTGAATTTTTTAGCTATTATTTCATTACCAGTCTTTCAAAATATTAAAATTGATCTTTAATCACATTTTTATGAGTTATTTTAAAATATGCACAAATTAATAATAATTAATGTCCCATTTAAGGGAAACAATTCTCATAGTCAGTGCTCCTGTAAAATATACAGGAAAATTAAAATGTAAACTATTCTTTATTTCTGGTTTTAAGAACATAGCGCAAAATTTTTTTACAGTTTTTATCCATTTTGTGTAGCAAATGCAAAATACAATACTCCAATATATAACTTTTGTTAAGTACAAGATAAGGAATAATAAACTTCACTATAATTTTGATAATAGTTGTACATGTACTTTTTTCATAAAGCTATTAGGTTGCATAAACTTAAAAAACATGTTGGCAACATTATCTGTAATTACTTAAATATAAGGATAGCTGAAAATACTTGAAAATATTACAGATTAATTGATGCACTGCAAAATCCTTAATATATTCAATAAGAAATTTTTAGGCTTTATAATAACACAGAATTCATTAAAGATGTTTAATATACTAAATACAACACAGTATACAATAAAACAGAACTTCTTATCTGACAAAAATATACACAAACTATGCTAAAAAATGTTTTTATATTGCAGTTTTACATGTGATTTTAAAACTTAAATTTCACAGCATAAAATGTTATATATTCAGCCACCGAAATAGCACATGAAGAACATTTCACTGCACAAAAGCACATCTAAAAGAGAATTCTAAAACATATGCCAGAAAAGCATTTTATTCATATTCACAAGTTTTTTTCACTGAAGCATAAATTCGATTTCCTTGCATTTTCACTCATCCAGTTCAATATTTTTACGACCTGTAAATTATCACAATGCCAGTTGATCAATCATTTCATTGTCACTTTATTATTATCGAAAATTATACTTAAAAGAATAAAAGCCTATAATTTAATGAGAATCTAAAACCTTTCATTAATACAACATTTATCCTACAAGAACATTTTGGGATGAAAGTTCATAGATTTAACATTACAGTAATCAAAACACAATGATTTTATTAAGTTTCACAATATATGCTCCCGTCTTCTCAGTTTGGAAAAAGAAATGAAAATAATAAAGTTTATTATTTACTCTGACCATCCTTTAAATTGGATTCTTCTGAATTCTGTCATCAGGTGTAATAGCATTATTATATACATAACTTTAATCAGATAAACTTCTTTTTAAAACAAATTTGCTTATAATGTCTCAGAAATGTTTCTTTATATACAGATTGTTTTACACTAATATATTTTTTCTGAAGTACATTTATTTTCAGGTTAATAATAATAATCAGCAATGCCAGTAGATTTGGTGAACAGTATTCCTTTGTCATATTATTTTCTGCATTTTTTTAAAATGAGTATGAAAGTAGTATAGCAAAGGAATAATGCCTGAAGGAAACTTCTAGCCTTTCATAAATAAACTTGTTTATATATTAATACTTATAATTGCTAAAATACAATTTATTTGTCTTTCACTTGAACAAAAAGCAATGTCAGATTACAAAAATACATATTAGTTCTCTTTAAAAATTTGATTAAACTATGTTAAATATCATGAAAGGCTTCCACAATTTGGATTAAATTCTTTCAAACTAGTTATGTGCTAATCTGAATCCCAAACAATTAAAACGTTTTACAGCTATTAAATTAAGAATGCTATTAAAGTAACGGTACTATTCGGTTTCGAGGGCCGTAAAAATCACCAAACTATTGTTGATGCCAATACTGCCAAAAATAATTGCGGCAGGAAAGGAAGTATAATAGTAAATAACTATCTTAGATTCATGTTTTAATTTAGATGAAAGGTTAATTTCGTATAATACTTTTTTATTATTATAATTTATATGAAAAAGGCTAAACATGACTGAATGGAAGCATAAGAGTAAATAACTATTTCAGATCATTATTATAATTTATATAAACATTGTTAAACATAACTGAATGGATGCCTGCATCGCTATTTTGCTACCGACTTATCGCTAAAACATAATTTCATCTCGTTGGTTGTTCAAACGTAATTTTCTATAATGAATGATGCCTTTTCTTTGAAAATATTCAGAATCAGAATTCAGAAGTGCAGAATCGCTCACTTATTTGTTTGCCACTTTTTATAAGGGTAAAAACAATTGGATTTTGGTCAATTTTATTTGACTTTTTAAATGAAAATAGGTTGATGTGTACATAGATAAAAGTCAAGGGTGTGCGCAGTGCCATTTTTGTGCAATTCTAGGATTAATTTTAAAGTGAAAATAGGTCAATGTACACATGGATACCGAGTATGTGCAGTTCTTAAAAACACGTCAAGCAGTGAGTGATTCTGCACTTTACCCAAAATTTTATTGCCGACTTTTCATCATGGGCAATTCCCAAATTGTTAAATCCATCGGATATCAAAAAAAGGATTTAAAAATTAAACTAGTATTTCAATGGCGTCTTAAGAAATATAGAACTATATAAACTTAACGCAATCTGAAACCAGCGTACGCTAGATTTGGCGTGCTGTTAAATGGGCCCATTTGCTAGATTTGGCGCTTTTGCGCATACATTTTCGCTGCAAATATTTTTACGGCCCTCAAAACAGAAGAGTACCAAAGTAACTAATTACAATGCTATTAAAAATTATTATTAAACACAAATTGTACCTTTTAAAAAATAGATAAAGGTTTTTGTCACCATTATACTGCAGATTAAAACTAGATTCAAAATTATTCAAGTACTGTTAACTTTTAATAGAACTAGCCTTATTTCAATATGAAATTTTTTAAAACCTTTTTTAATGTGTGAAATTTGTAAAGAATATCTATGCAAAGAAACTTTTTGTTTTGTATTTTTATATAAATTTAATTTTTTTGTAAAGTATTTGTAAAACAAATTCATATAAATTAAGATTTCATACTTCTGTGACATATCAGAAACATCTTTAAATTTCTAAGGTTATTAAAAATTTCTTGTTTAATGAACTTTATATAACTATTTCTTAAAGAAAAAAAAAGAGCAATTGTCTTCCTGTAACTGTAAAAAGAAATACACAATTTTCAGTTTTCAAAGATATAAAATTAACATAATATAATAGCTGTATACCTTGCACTTTAATGCCTTTTTATGTAATCAGTCTTAATTAAATAATACTTTCAAATTCAAGATACAAATTAATACAAATTATTTAAGAAAACATGAGTGTAATTTGAAATGTAAAAAATCCATTTATTAAATTTATGTTCAAATCTCTTTACTTTTTAAAATGTTTTCTAAAAGCAAAATCAAAGTACACTTTATCAAGATCTTTTATACATCATCATCATCATAATGAGATTTCAAATCCAATCTTTTCTTTATACACAGATACAAATACATAATTACTGCAAGAAATAAATATATGGTGCTCAGGACATGAGAGAGTATATATTTAAAAAGTAAGTTTTGGAACAAATTTCAAAAATAACAATAACTCTCTCAGCACTGAATAAACACATGTTAAAAGCATTTTCAATTGAGATAACATTATACTTCATTATCGGAGAGCACTATTCATTGAAATTTCATATTTCTGTCGTAATACTGGACTCCATGATTGTGATCTACTGCGAAAACTTCTAGAACTACACCTTGAAACAGGAGAATGGGATAAAGGGTGTACAGGGGAAGAAGACCTGGAAAGACTGTGGTATGACCAAGAACTTGAACTGCTAGGTGTTGGTGGTGATGGTCGACGATAAGGTACAGGTCGTTTACGTGCACTAAAATAAATGTTTTTTTTTCAATAAAATATTGAAATGACAAAATGTCACACACATATATATATATATACCATATTTACTCCCTTTTTCCTACTAATTTTATTATGAAAATTGAGAGGGGGGCAAACAGTGTATACATTACAAGTCATTAACCCCTTAACTGCCGTGGGCGTATATATACGCCTTGCTCAGCCGATGCATTAACTGCCCCAGATGCGCAGCCAATGCGTTAACTTTGCGAATAATTTTAGGTGTAGCAGCGCAAAGCAAATGATAGCAGTTTGGAAGGACATATATATACGCCTGGGGCAGTTAACGCATCGGCTGAGCAAGGCGTATATATACGCCCGCAGCAGTTAAGGGGTTAATCCGGACTCGTCGGGACTTCGGCGATTCCGGATAATAGATCATCAATTTAAATCTGGTAAGATGGCATGCAGAAATTATAAAATTAAAAATATGAAACCGTAATTTATGAAATAAAGAGCAATTATGATCTAAAGGGTATCAAATTTACAAAAAAAAACTTAATATTTATTTGTTTACTTTATTAAACATTTCTTTCAATGTAAGTTGTTTAAGTTGCTTCGTTTTATGTGTTAATACTTTCTCTTTAATTCTATAAAGAGACATAATTTCTTGTTCAGTTACAAAGTTCCGTTGTTCAAATCCTGTAATTGCTGTGCCGAGAATACCGACTAACTTGTCAATCGAAATTTTTTCGTTTTCACTAACCTCTTTGTCACTTTCTTCATGCCTTCATCCATTTTTTGCAGCAATGCCAATTTTTGTTTGATGAACATCGAAACATGCTTTCGCTTTGCAGATCCTTTGACAGCTTCAGACTCGGAAACTCTTTTTGACATAATCGAAAGTTCAACCTTACTTTTTATAAAATTGCTCTAACAGTCTGCAAAAAATAATGAGCCGGATCCAATTAGAAGATTAAGGAACAACGCAATCTGCAACATTAACTGAAATAGATAAGTAGATAACTTTAGCCTAGCTTATACCTTTCGTTATACATTAAACGTGCATGCGTAAACGTATTATGCGCATGCGTAGAAAGTTTGTAGCTTTGAGATCCTGATTATAGATCACTCCGAATTAAAGACTTTGTACTGTATACTATTTTTGATTTTCTTAAATGATAAACAAAGAACATTAAAATGCACACTTAAGGACCTACTAATAATATTATACTATGTACTTCAAATGGCTTATCAATTCCAATAATATTCTTCTTATTTACAAACATAATTTTTTATTTGTGAATGTTTTACATTGTTATCATAAATCAGAAGTTTTTAAATCATATGCTGAAAAACTTGAAAGTATGCAAAGAGGAGAAATATGTGAGTAAATACAATATATATATATATACACATATCAACTAAATTTATAACAATACATAATACACTATCTAAAAACTATGTACATTTTTATGACATCTAGTCTTACATATTATTACATCAGTTAGAAAAAGTATAAAATACAGTATACTGTAATACTCTGTAATGATGTAATAGTACACATTTAGACCAGTGACAAAAATTGTGAAAAATATTTCTGTATTCATTATTGAATTAAAAGGGAATTGTACAGAAAATATTTGCTGAAAAAGTACAGATTATTATATTCTTTTGCCCTCATTGAAAATTTTAATATGAACAGAACTAAAATTTATGATAAAGGTTATCAGTACTCCCAAATAGAGAGCATTTCTTGAAAAGATATAGAAATAAATATCATCAAGTAACAGCCATTTTCAAAGGATATATTTTTAAAACACACACTCAGACTGTCATGATATCATTTGTGCCATGAGAAAAAGTACAGTTTCATTATTTAGTGCAATCAGCTTATTTGTATTTGGTCATATTTGGGTAAATATATAACATAGTACAGCGTTTCCCCAACTTTTTTTACCACAGCCCGGTACGAGATTAAAAATTTTTTTGCGACCCACCTAAAAAAAAAAAAACATTTCTTTACAAAAGAAATTTTATTTTTTAATAAAAATCAAAATTCAAGTTATTTGTTTGTTTATTTTATACAAAAAAATTGCAAAATAATTATATAACAAAAACATAAGTAATTATAGACAAACCATTATCTTTAAACCATTATCATTAAAACTCAAAGTAAATTTTGTTTTACATATTTTGACCTTAGTGTGAAGGATGATGTTGTTTTTCATCACATAGAAATTTCAAATTAGGACTTAATAATGTTAATTTTATTCTGAAATTAGGTTTGACATCCAATCTGTTTCGATACTCATTTTTTAAGTACACCAAGGCTCAGAACACAGTTTCACATGTATAAGTGGTGACAAAAGGCATTAAAAATTGTATCGCTTTTTCACTTAGATATTCCTTTTGACAGCACAACCAAAATTTAATTAGTGGTACAATTTCAAACACATTTTTAAGATCGGTGTCGCATGAAATTTCAATTAAATTATCAACTTCTTGTTCACTAAGATTAAGGATTTCTTCCTTTTCAATATCGACAGAAAAAGGATCTTTAATCCACATATTATGTGAAGGAATATCCGGAAAGTCAGGGGCGTAGCAACAGGGGGGCAAAGGAGGGCATCTGTCCCTGGGCGCAGAATCCAAGGAGCGCCAAACTGATGTTACAACATTTTAGAATTAAATGTTTTTCATCCTTGGCAAGCAGTAGGGGGCACGAAATCTTCAGTTGTCCCTGGGCGCTGAAAACCCTAGCTACGACTCTGCGGAAAGTAGTCTTTAAAACTATTTCTTAGCTCCAAAAGATGTTCTTGAATTGAAACTGATATTGTTTCAAGGTGTAAATCTTCTTCATCATAGTTTGAATGGGTTTCAATAAATTTAAGCAATGTTTCAAAAGATTTAAAACTTCCTTTCGAAAGTCGTTGTTTCCACAGAGTCATTTTTTTAATTATTGCAGCGACTTTTTCCAATACTTTGAAAATATTTAAACCAAAGGCCTTGCAAATTTAAATTCAATTCCTTGAATGTAGCAAATATGTCGCACATTTAAGCTACTTTTTTTAACCACCCGAAATTGTTGAATCTATCCTTAAATGGAAAAATAGCATCTTGTTTAGATGGTGGGTGTTCATTCAAAAATACCAATCTTTTACCTCAAACAGACGTTTTAAAACGTTTCCATTTGAAAGCCATCATGAATTACAATACAAAAGGAGGTGTTTATGATCACTCCCCATTTCCTTGTATAATTCGATGAAAAGTCTGCTACTTAATGGATGAGATTTTATGTAGTTTACAAACTTCACACATTCTTCCAAAGTCTTTAAATTTAAAGGCATTCGTTTTACCGCCAACGCTTTTGTTTATAGATACTACAGTGCACCCATACACAATTAATTGCTAGTTCTTGAATATATTTAAACAAATCTTTATGACAGCCTGCCATTGCATGTGCTCTGTCGCTACTTAGCCCAACAAACTTCATCCAATCAATACCGTGACTAGTGATAAAATCATTGGTAGCCTTAAAAATTTCATCTGAGGTCGTTCTTGTCGGTAGCTTTTTACAAAACAAAAAATTTTCTTGTATGGTGTCTTTGTCAATATATCTGATAAAACACATTAGATTTGCATTATCCTCGATATCTGTGCTTTCATCTATTTGCAAGGAAAAAAACTTGCTCTTTTTTACTTGAGCAAATAGTTCTTCTAAATGTTTTGCGCAATCATCAATTCTCCTTTTAACTGTATTATTTGATAAAGGTATCGCCGAAAATAAACATTTTCCCTTTATTCCGCATAAATTATTTGCGACAATTTTCAAAGCAGGAAGTATTAATTTTTCTCCAGCACTATGAGGATACCCAGTTTCAGCTATTAATTTGGAAATTTCAAAAGATGTCAAAGTGAGGTTTTTATTTGACAGGTGAGGTAAGAGTGTATTTTTCATTTTTTTTTAGCAGCAATCAATTCATTTTTTTTATCAGTAAAAAAATTAATTGGCTTATCAGAGTACTCAGAATGGAGTGTGTTTAAATGCCATTTCAACTTTGACGGTTTCATACTTTCGTTTGAAAGTTGCTCATTGCAAATAAGACATAGCGGCAAATTATTTTGACTGCCGCCAGCAATGAACCCAAAGCGTAAATATTCGTCACAATAGTTGCGAGTCTAAGTAGCTTTACGCTTGTTATTTTGGCACTGTATATCTGCTTTAGGTGCTTCAGGCACAGTTTTTTTACGATCATAATGTTCAACTTTGCTCGTGCTTGATTGATCTTCATCATTTAAATATGTGGTTTTCTTGATTAACCATTTATCCATTTAAAAAAAAAAGAATTTTAATAAAAAGAATTTGTTTATTAATGATTTATAAGAAAAATTATTTTTATTACTTACCAATATGAAGTTGTTATTAATAATAGGTAATAATAACTATTGTCAAATAAAATAGGTAAAAAATTCAAACATAACCTTGTTTTGATACACGTGAGTTTACGGCGCATGTACCGGAGAAGGTACTGAATGACGAATCGAAATCAGCTAATCATTCGAGCATACGAATTTAAACGGTCTGGTAGGGTAAAGGGTTGCCACCTGCAGCACTTGAAAAAGTTTTGAAAAATATTAAATTTAGAGCAAAATGTTACAGAGTTTTTGTGTTTTTACAATTTTTGCCACGACCCAGCTGAATTTTTCTGCATCCTGGTGCCGGGTCCTGACCCACACTTTGGGAAACGCTGATATAGCAGACTTTAAATAAATAAATTATAAGATTAAATACATAAAATTTTGATCACCAGGAAGGCAAAAAACATTTATCATGGATAAAAACATTTTGACATAATTTAGATGTGCTAAAATTGAAGAAACTGTCCAAATATTCATTTCAATGTTCATTCCAGTTATAGATTTTTTGCATTACTTTAATTTTTTTGAGAAGGATCAAGTTCCTAATCCTTTAATTTTTAATCTAAAACAATTATAATCATTTTAGATTACTAAATAATTTTAATTTAT